AGCCAGTCCGGTCAATTTCTACAGCTGGATGTTAAGTCTCCTAATCACTATCCCAAGAGTCCTCGTCTTTCGGTGTTGATAACTGCTGAAATTTCTCCCACAAATGTAGCAAATGCTAATTTTTTCTCTACTTAGCAGCCTTAAATATTTAATATTTAGTCTCTACTTTTAATAGTTAAATGTATTTCTACAATCATTTCAGTGACAAATACATAGGGACCCTTATCTTTCTGGAGACTACTCTTTTTTTATTTAGTTGACGAAGGAACCTTGGACTGTTACTGTAGGGGTGGCAAACGGGTCGGATTGGGTCGGGTCAGATCGGGTCATAGTTGACCTAACCCGTATAAGTGTGACCCAACCCGTATAAGTGTGACCCAACCCGACCCGTTTAATAAATGGGTCAATGCGATCTGACCCGTTTATTAAACGGGTTACCCGACCCGACCCATATAAAAAATACCAAGCTTTCAATGCGATCCGACCCGTTTATTAAACGGGTTACCCGACCCGATCCATATAAAAAATACCAAGCTTACTCTTCCTTTTACAAAAAATTTTGGTGGCATTAATCTTATATGTGCTCAGATTCTAACCCCGATCATTTTAAAACTGTAATTTCACAGAATGCAACTCAAACAGATAGAACCCGAAGCACAAAAGTCAACAGGCCCAAGCCTGGATCGATCACAAAACCCACTACGGATAAGACTAAAATAATAACTTAAAACAAAACGCTCGATAACAATAATAATAGTCGCTGATGAAGCCTCTAACTCCAACAGAAGAAAAGATTGCATCTTTCACAACATTTACACAAAATTTCCGAAAGGAAAATGTAAATACTAACCATCTTCTTCTTCTGTCTCTGCGTGGTCTTGATTGGATTCAAAGCCTTAGCTGCGAGAATGGTGTCATTCTGGAACTGCATCAAAGTCGACCTATTCGACTTCCGATCGGTGGTCCCCGGCTTCCCACAAGCAGTCGAATCCCAAAGCCGCCGCCACGAACACAAGGCGGAGTGATATCGAATCTTGGCTGCGGGGTAGCCGCAGCGGTGGTGGCAATGGGGGCAGGATCTAAGGTGATGAGATCCATGAGCGTCGCCCCAGCGGAGTCCGCCATGGCTGAGCTCGAGCAAGAGCTAGAAATTTTTAGGCGCCGATGACCAGACTGGAAGTCGAAGATCTAAGCGTGGTGCTTTTTTTCGGAGCCGATTTGGGACGGTGTTTGCCCTTATACGGGTCAGGCGGGTCAGGCGGGTCAACCTGTTTAATAAATGGGTAACTTTGGGTTGACCCGTTTATGACCCGACCCATATAATTCAACCCATACCCATTATAAACGGGTCGGGTCGGGTCAGGTTGATGGGTCGGGTCATAAATTGCCACCCCTAACTGTTAGCTGGTTACCTAGGGGGAACTCTTCATTAGAGCAACTCACACAAAGCATCTCATGCAAGGGTCTTTGCCTTAATATCGGGGGCCATTGCCAGAGTGATCTGGGCACCTTACGTGGCCCAATGCAACCCAAGTTGGGGTTCCCTTTCCCAGCCCAAGACAATCCAAGTAAACATCGGGCCTTGATAACCACCCTCTTTACCAAGACCAATGTGAAGTTGGGGTTTTTGACCTCAGGACCACAGGGCACAAGGCCCCTAAGGATTCCCCATTGGGACTACACATTTTACTATACATAATTGTTTCAGTGCTTGATAGTGATTCATTTTATTCTTTCCTCCCAAGAAACTTCATCTTCATTTCTCAATATTTCTTCCTTCTTCCTACTATTTTCCCCTTCTTTTTTATCCTTCAAATGAATTACCTCTGGAAAGCATACCCTAATATTCATCTTGTTTTCCCTGTGTAGAAAGCAAAAAACTTTCAAAATCTTGATTTCCCTCTTAAGTTAACTATACTAAAGAGCAATCTAAGACTGATAGGTTGAAATAATGTTATTTTGATGATTAGACCTGTGTCATTCATTGGTGACTTGGTTAAATTTGAAATTCTTACATGACTTACGACAGAAGCTAATAATTGGCATTCTACCTACTATGTAATTTGAATAACTTGATACTAAACCAGAGGTAATAAAAACTGATTAAAAATACTCGTCAACCAACTCCAACATTTTAAAAGTTTGTATTTGATCCAAATCAAAGTTTGTGTAGGAACATCATGCAAAAAATTCCCTGAATCAACAGTGTATCATTTTCTTTGGTGTGCCAGTAGGTTTTTTGAAGGAACTCCCTCCATGCAAGCCCCATGTTACACCACCAGCATCAGCATCAACAAGAAGCCTTTATTCTAAATTTGTGGGATTTTGCTACATCCTGTTCCTCCATTCAGTTGTGTTAAGAGCTACCTCACCACCATAAACAAAAAAAACGGGCACACATTCTAGAGCCTCGTGTCACAATGTTGGAGGAATAATGTTTGTATTAGAAACCTTATTACCCAAACACTTTGATGGCAAATAGTCAGATAGGTGTCTCATCCAATAAACAGACATGATATGGATGTACATTGTTTCCTTTCAGTTCAAAGCATATGGTATTAAATATTATTGAATACTTCCCTTCAAATTGTGCTTGTTTTCATTCGTTAAAAAAAAGGATGTATGGAAGTGCATGTTATCTAGCTTTCAGTGCAATGTCTTAACTATGCTTGTGCTGGCAAGGCTGTTTGCATTTCATTAATGATGAAAGGATTAATTATATTCCAGTTTCTTGAGGTATGATGCAGTTATATGGTTGACGTTAAAGTTTCCATGTCTATATGGGTGAATCTTAAGGTTACTGATTGCAATTACATGGGTGACCTTGGAATCTGACAGCATGTTAACGCCATTCGTTTTTTGTTGATTTTGGGATTCTTGATGGATGTTAGTTAGTGGTAGGATGAGGATTATAGTTTTTTTTTGTTAGGGTTGGGATTTGGGTTGTTAGTGTTATAGCAAAGATTATTGACTAAAGCTCCATTGTTATAACTCCCATAGTCAGTTATCTTTGTTATAAGTTATAATCCAAACCATAATCCTACCCCTAGCCCTAAATCTAACACTTAAGTCTAATCAACATCCAACAAGAACTTTAGTGAGCAAAAAACAACAGCGTCAATCTGCATTTGATTTCAGTGTCCCTCGTGTAATTATAATTGGTTACCTCAAGGTTATCTATTCTATGTAGATACTCAAACTCTAGGGTCACCCATGTAATTACACCATGCCTCAGGGTCTGACTGTAATTATACCATGACGAAGGATATAAAGTTCACTTTCATAGATTAGTTCAAATGATTTGTTTACTTTATTTTTCTTTCGATGGATGAGCATAATGAGGGCTACGACTCCGCCCCTGATCTCATGGATTATGCATCATCATCATTTTTACCTCACGCCTGAGCTCATTGGTTACTACCATACTTGATTCATGACAACTTTGCATAATCGGAGATAAAGTCAAAAGCCTCATCTAATTGAAAGAGTTAGTTTATTTAGACTCGGAGATTTTTTATTTAAGTTCAGAATGAAATTTGAATTTAGGATAATTTGTTTGATTGAAGATATGAATTTGAGTCTTTATTCTATAAATGCTTTCATAAATTTCAAACTTTC